GCCTCTCTGAGCCGTGCCCCTCGGCCCTCCCTTCCCACCAGGGTAGTGTCCTGCGCCTCCGGTGCGGTACCCTCCCCAAGATCAGGGTGCAGTGCCCCTCGCCGGCTCTGGCTACGGGTCACAACCAGGGCGGTCTGGGGCTTGCTTGGCCAGTCCTCTAGGTCTCCCCCCATCAAAACTTTAGTGGGCAAATGGTGGTGTACCTCCACATCCTTGGGGCCCTCTTTGGCCCCCCATTTCAGGTGTACCCTTGCCACGGGCACCTTAAATGGGGTCCCGCCCACCCTTGTCAGGGTCAGGTAGGTGTTGGGCACCACCTGATCTGGGGCCACCACCTCGGGCCGGACCAGCGTCACCTCCGCGCCCGTATCCCAGTGTCCATTGACCTTCCTCCCATCCACCTCCAGGGGAACAAGGCACTCTCTCCGGAGGGACAGCCCCGCGCCCACCCTGTAAACCGAGCACCCTGAGTCCAGAGCCTCCAGCCCTCTGGCGGAGCTGGCCTGGGGTACTCTTCCCTCCTGAGCAGGTGGTAAACTGGTAGCCCCCCTTGCCGGGGTCGTCTGCCCCTCGTCCAGCTGAGTCCCTACCCAGTTAACCCTGGGTAGGTTGGGTCTGCTCAGTTTGTCCCTGAGCCCAGGGCACTGGGACCGTATGTGGCCTCTCTGGCCACAGTGATAGCAGCTCAGGTCACGTTGGTCCCCTCGAGCGGGTCGGAGGGGCCCGATGCCAGGCGTTCCCCTTTGGAGGGGGTTCTCCCTATTTCCCCGCTAGGAGGCCCCCTGTGACTCTCTCTCTGCATCGGGGGGGGGCCTGTTCTTTTGGGACTCCTCCCAGCTTCCCCCTGACCGACTGTTCACAAACTCGTCGGCCAGCTGCCCTGCGTGCTGGGGGTTCTCGAGCTTTTTGTCCACCAACCACAGCCTCAGGTCGGAAGGGCACTGTTCATACAGCTGCTCCAGTACGATTAGGTCAAGCAGGTCCTCTTTAGCTTGGGCCCCAGCTGTCCACTTGCGGGCATATCCCTACATCCGGTTGACCAGTTGTAGGTAGGTGACCTCAGGCGTTTTACACTGACTCCGGAACCTTCTCCGGTACATCTCGGGGGTCAGCCCAAACTCACGGAGCAGGGCCTGTTTGAACAGTTCGTAGTCCCCTGCCTCCGCCCCTGTCATCCGGCTGTACACGTTCACGGCTTTGGGGTCCAGTAAGGGGGTGAGAAACTGGAGCCTGTCTGCAGGGTCAACCCTGTGCAGCTTGCAGGCATTCTCAAAGGCCGTCAGGAAGCTATCTATGTCCTCCCCCTCCTTACGCTGGGCCAGGAAGCACTTATCAAAGCTCCTTGCAGTCTTGGGTCCCCCCTCACTCACCACAGCCGGGGCCCCACTGCTCCTCAGCCTGGCCAGCTCCAGTTCATGCTGTCTTTGTTTCTCCTTCTCCTGACGCTCCCTCTCCTTCTCCTGACGCTCCCACTCCTTCTCCTGATGCTCCCTCTCCCTCTCCTCCTGCTCATGTTGACGTTGTTTCTCCTTCTCCTCCTGCTCATGTTGACGTTGTTTCTCCTTCTCCTCCTGCTCATGTTGACGTTGTTTCTCCTCATGTTGACATTGTTTCTCCTCATGTTGACGTTGTTTTTCATGATCCTCCAGCTCCCTCATTTTCATCTCCCTCTCCCATTCCAGCCGCATCCGCTCCAGGGATGGGGAGCTCCGCCGGGAGGATCCCCTGCTGGCTGCCGGGGTCAGGGTGCCCTCGGTATTCGCTGGGCTTCCCCCAACCCCTTCCCCAGGCCTAGGTAGGAAGGGTCTCGGGATGTCCTCGGCAGCAGTCTGACCCCTCCCAACCCGGTCAGGCCCCAGGGCCCACGCTGCGTCCACCGGGCGGCTTCCCTCCGGGACAGGGATCAGGTCATCCAAGCGATCCCTCTCCTCCAACTGGGCAATCAGCTGTTCCTTGGTGGACCTCCCAGTGCGCAGTGGACTACACAGCTCCACCAGGTCACTCTTCAGGCGTTTAGCGTACATCTCCCTGCTGGCCACTCGCAGGCCGGGCAGCTTTCTATGGTTTCCAGGAAAAGCCCCTAGTGTGCCAGTCCTTCTTGAGGTCACCACCCCCTTGCCAGGGTCGAGCTGCAGACTCCTCCGCCCCTGGGACCGCTCGCTGCAATCCCCCGGGGGACCCTGTTACTGCAAAAGTCCTTCTCTCTGGTCACACATTCCCAGGAGTTAACCGGCCCCTGAAACCGTCTCTCTCTGAATCTTCAGCACGCCCAGTCCCCGTCAATCCCCCTTCATTTTACTGTCCCCCAGTCACTTACTGCAGGAAGCGCCGTTCACGGGGTGCAGGACATCCCACCGCTGCCACCAGTTGTCACGGAGTGTGGGGGAGGCCAGGCCCTGCACCCCTCTTTCAGGGATTCACTGAGACTCTCAGACGGCCAGTAAAACAGAAGGTTTATTGTACATCAGGAACACAGTCCAAAACAGAGTTTGTGGGTACACCCAGGACTCCTCAGTCAAGTCCTTCTGGGGGAGCAGGGAGCTTAGACCCCAGCCCTGGGGTTCCCTGTGTTCCTCCACCCAGCCCCAAACGGAAACTAACCACCCTGCCCCCCCCCCCCCCAGGCTCTCTCCTGCAGCTTGTCTTCACATTCCTGGGCAGAGGTGATACCTCCTCCTCCCCCTCCTGGCTCAGGTTACAGGCTCTCAGATCTACCATCCCCAGGGCACATTCCCAGGTCAACACTCCCCCCCTCCCTGCTGCGTCACATCGTCACAAGGGGCATTACCAGCAGATCGAGGGACGTGATCGTTCCCCTCTATTCGACATTGGTGAGGCCTCATCTGTGTCCAGTTTTGGGCCCCACACTACAAGAAGGAGGTGGAAAAATTGGAAAGACTCCAGCGGAGGGCAACAAAAATGATTAGGGGACTGTGACACATGCCTTATGAGGAGAGGCTGAGGGAACTGGGATTGTTTAGTCTGCGGAAGAGAAGAATGAGGGGGGATTTGATAGCTGCTTTCAACTCCCTGAAAGGGGGTTCCAAAGAGGATGGATCTAGACTGTTCTCAGTGGTAGAAGAGGACAGAACAAGGAGTAATGGTCTCAAGTTGCAGCGGGGGAGGTTTAGGTTGGATATTAGGAAAAACTTTTTCACTAGGAGGGTGGTGAAACACTGGAATGCGTTACCTAGGGAAGTGGTGGAATCTCCTTCCTTAGATATTTTTAAGGTCAGGCTTGACAAAGCCCTGGCTGGGATGATTTAGTTGGGGATTGGTCCTGCTTTGAGCAGGGGGTTGGACTAGATACCTCCTGACGTCCCTTCCAACCCTGATATTCTATGATTCTACAATTCTATAGCCAGGTCATAACCACAGGGAAGCCAAACAAACAAAACAGTGATACTATTAAATCCAACTCAAATTTGATTATTAAACTCAGGTTTACAACACTCTAACTGATCACACAAGTCAGGGTCAGAAGGCTACACCTCGAGAGAGAGAGAGCGAGAGCTGGGTTCTCACCACTCCGTGAAGCTGGAATCGATCGGGGGACCCAGGTGTTGGTGGTAGCTGAGGGTCTGGAGTGCTGGAGACAGGCAGAGCTCTCAGCATGATCAATCAGGAGAAGATGAAGTCCCAATGGAAGTGATGCAGATTTTGGATCCAGGCATCAGAACACTTACTTGAGCGTGGGTCGGGGATTTTCTAGAGAAACAACAATGGTTCAAGGGAGAACTCGAGATTTGTTGATGTGTAAACAAGGGAGAATACCAAAGCTGTTTTGATCAGGCTAGACCATGGGAGCTGATCATTCCTGGCTCTGGGTGGTGTTCCTTGGAGGGAGCTCACAATGCAGTCAGGCGGCTTCATTATTTTGGATCCCAATAAAGGATTTATTACTCAAATTGGTCTGATAACTAATGAGCTGGGGGTGTGCAGGCGTGGGTTCATTAACATCTGGAGCAGAGATCCCCCATCATGCAGTGCTTCCCTGCTTTTCTGGCCCCAGAGTTCCCTGCGGTTCTTGCCTTGGAATCTCTGTTCTCCATTCTGTCTGCGAATGGAGACGCCTCCTTGTCCCATCTTCGATGCAAATGAGGCTAGGGGAGTTGCCTTAATTCTGTCATCCTTATCCCAGAGGTTTAGGAGTGTCTCCCACTGCCTTTTCATTGATTTTCGTAAGTCATTCTTCTGGTGTAGATTTGGTTCAAGCAGAGGCTGGGGGGGGGGGGCACGGTCTTCGTGAGACAGACAGACTGGGTACAGTGCCATGCTTCCCCAAGAACACAGAGCTGCTAGGTAACAACCTATCCTCCATTAATTTATCCAGTTCTTTTTTGAACCATGTTATAGTTTTGGCCTTCACAACGTCCTCTCGCAAGGAGTTCCACAGGTTGACTGTGTGTTGTGTGAAGAAATACTTCCTTTTGTTTGTTTTAAACCTGCTGCCTATTCATTTCATTTGGGGACTTCTAGTTCCTGTGTTATGGGAAGGAATGAAGAACACTTCCTGATTTACTATCTCCACACCTGTCATGATTTTACAGACCTCGATCATATCCCCCTTAGTCATCTCTTTTCCAAGCTTTAGAGTCCCACTCTCATTAATCTCTCCTCATCTGGAAGCTGTTCCACACCCCGCATCATTTTCGTTGCCCTTTTCTGAACTTTTTCCAATTCCAATTTGAGATGGGACCACCAGAACTGCACGCAGCATTCAAGCTGTGGGCGTACCATGGATTTATATAGAGGCAATGTGATATTAGCTTTTTCGCTAATTGAAGGATTTTTTTAGCCCACGATCTCTCGGGACCGTCTCCTGATTTGGGGATTTGGAGGGGTCACTGTGCTGTCAGTAGCCCCAGATCAGCCCCTGCAGAGCCCAGCAGCACTGATGGTCCCCAAGGCAGATCTTTCCCCCTGTAAACAGCTTCTGCTCTCACACACCCCACCCTCCCCGTCTGTCTCTAGGTCTATCCCAGCTGGACACCCCAGCCATGGGCAGAGCCCTGCTTCCACACCAGGATGCCGGAGAATGGGAGCTCCCGGCTCAGGGCCCCCCATGGAGAGAAGGGGGTCCTGCGCCCCCTGCGGCCACGCTGAGGGTCCTGATCCTCGCCCTGCTCTGGAGGGGTAAGTAAGCAGCCCCAGCAGCCCCAGTGCAGGGGGAAGGGCAGAACCCGCGCTACGCAGGGCCAGGCCTGTCCCAGGCCACGGAAGGGAGACTGGCCAGAGGGGGAGGGGAGCCCGATGCCCTCGTGCGGTGCGAGGGGGCACCGAGCGACAGGGAGCGGGCAGGGGGCTCGACGTAGGGAGGGATGGAAACTAAATGGAGTGAGGTTTGGTTGAGGACCCAGGGATGGGCTCGCAGGGGGCTGCAGGTCGGGAGTGAGGGCACCGGCAGAGGTGTCGGGGGAGCTCAGGGTTGGTCTCTGCTCTCTGTGGCTCCCACTTCGATCCCTCTCCGTCCCCTGCAGGGTCCCTGTCCCTGGAGTCTGGTTATTCCCTGGGGCTGCCACAGTCGGTGTCGGTGCAGACGGGTCTCTGCGTTCTCGTCCCCTGCACCTTCGCGTACCCAGCCTCGTACGACACCGACAATCCCCGGGCCCGGCTCTACGGACACTGGTACAAGGAGCCCGCAACTGCGGGCCAGGATCCGCCCGTGGCCAGCAGTGACCCCAGCGAGAGCGTGTCTCAAGAGACCCAGGGCCGGTTCCGGCTGGTGGGGGATCTGGCACGTGGCGACTGCTCCCTGCAAATCAATGACGCCCGATGGATGGATGCAGGGAGATATTTCCTTAGAGTTGAGAAAGGAAACTTTAAATACAGTTACCGCCCCAATCTGTATCGTGCTCACCCTACGCTCGCGATCTCTGTTCCAGGTAAGAGCAGCCGCAGTCACCGCTCCTCAGCCCCCCTGAGCCAGTCCCTGGCCTGGGGCCGGATTGGGGCCGGCGCCCCCTGGGGGGAAAGGCCCCGTGTCCCCCAGTGATTCTCTCCCCTCTCCCCGTGTCTCAGGGCTGACGGAGGAGCCAGAGATCCAGATCTCGCCGGCGCGGGGGCTGCCAGGGACGCTGCTGGCCGGGGAGCCGGTGACTGTGACCTGCACGGCCCCCGGGCGCTGCTCCGGGCCCCCTCCCCGAGTCACCTGGACGGGGCCGTTCAGCAACACAGCCCAGGACGACTCAGCCCTGCTGGCGAACGGCACCTGGGCCCGCAGCTCCACGCTGCGCTTCACACCCGCCCCGGGGGACCACGGCAAAGAGCTCGTCTGCAGAATTACCTACCGCCCACCATGGGGACCTTCCACCCGCAGAACCATCCGGCTACACATCGGCTGTGAGTGACCCCCCCTAGCCCCTCCATGCCGGCCCCCAGTTCCCCCTGCTGGGATCCACACCCTCCTGGGCTCCCCAGCTCTGCCCTCCAGGCCCTCCCCCAACTCAGCCCTGTGCTGGGATCCCCACCCCCACCATACACCCTCAGCCAATTCTACTCCAGACCCCTTCCCCCCCACACCTTGCAGCCCCTTCTCTCTTGGGAATTTCACCCCTTCCTGCCACACTTGGCTATGGCTTCACCCTCCCATCTACATGCCCCGTCCTCAGGCCCTTCTCCTCTGGGATCCTCTCTACCCCCGACCTGCCCTGCCCCCAGAATCCTTCTATGCTGGGATCCACCCACTATTCCAGTCCCCCCTTGCTGGGATTCCCCCCCTCACAGCAGACACCCCAGTTCCCCCCGAGATCCACCCGGGCTGTCCCACCACGTCTCCTCCACCCCGTCCCCTTTCTGCCGGGATCGGAGGATGCTCTCTATGGGGCAGAGTGTTAACGGGACCCAGTCGCTGTCCGGCACTAAACACGCTCCAGGGTCCGTGCCCAGAGACCTCGGCCCGCCCTACCTGAGAGCAAACCCCCATTAACTGGCCCGTGACCCCTGCGCTGCAGATCCAGGGCAGAGGGCAAATCAGCAGCCGCCTTTGGGAGGTGAAGGACCAAATCGGGCGTCACTGTAAGGACGGCCCTTGTTCCCATCAGCCGGAGGGAGATTTGGAAGGAAACTCGCCCCCCGCCCTGCCCCGTGTCTGAGCCCAGGCCCCAGCCCGACCCCGAACGTCTACACAGGCCTCGGAGGATACGTCCGCGCTGCAATCACAGACCCGCAGCCCGAGCCCCGCGAGCCCGACCCAACGGACCCAGGCTCTGGGCCTCGGCGCCGCGGGGCTTTGAGGGCAGCATGGACGGACCCTGCCAGGCCTGGCCAGAGGGCACCAGCGTCCGGCTCCTCCGGGTGTTGCTTTCAAAATACCCAGGCCTGGCCGGGGGCCAAAGGAGAGGGCTGGGGAGAGACGAACCGAGCGGAGAAGGCAAAGGACCCACAAGGGGGGTGTCTGACGACCCTCGTGGGGGCGAGACCGGGGTTATTTAGACCCCCGGCTCTGTCCCGCCCTCGGGAGGACACGTTTGGGGAGCAGGACGCTGAACACCCGGGTGCCCGGCAGACGGTGGCAGCGAGATGGTGACGCTCGCTCCAGTCCCCAGGCCGGAGCAGCCCGGCCCCTCGTTAGTGCCTCCGCCAATTAAGCTGAATTCTGACCCACCGGTTTTGGTCCCTTGGTTCTGGCTCCCCCTGGCCCTAACCCGGCCCCTGGGTTACGTCCGGCGCCTCTTGGGTCGCCCCCAGTCGGGTCTGTCGCTTCCCTTCCCTGCCCATGGAGCTTGTGTCACTTCAGGGACCTTCCCGTCCCCCAGCTGAGCTCTCAGCGAGGTGACACGGAGTCCCTGGGCGATGCTCTGGAACTGCTCCCCATGAAGCCAGGCAGGACTCTGGGGAAGTCTCCTCTCGGGGAGCAGCCTGTCTGCAGGACACACAGCTCCCCCGGCTCCACCTTCCTGCGTTTGACCTCGGAGCATTCAGCCTCCTCTGCCCTCCGTGCGCTTCCCCCAGCGAGTCCGCCCAGGCGGGGTCCTGGGGAAGCCAGAGGGTCCTGCCCCCCAACTCCGCAGTCAGACGTGACTCTCAGCCAGCCAGGAAAACAGAAGGTTTATTAGACGACAGGAACATGGTCTAACACAGAGCTTGCAGGTGCAGGGAACAGGACCCCTCAGCTGGGTCCATTTTGGGGGCAGTGAGCCAGACAACCACGTCTGCCCTTCACTCCATGTCCCAGCCAGCCCCAAACTGAAACTCCCCCAGCCCCTCCTCCTCTGGGCTTTGTCCCTTTCCCTTAGGGCACCTGATTCCTTTGTTCTCCAACCCTTTAGCTCTCACCTTGCAGGGGGGAAGGGCCCAGGCCATCAGTTGCCAGGAAACAGGGTGTCGGCCATTGTCTGTGTCCAGACTCCTGCACACCCCTGCCCTCTAAGGCTCTGCAAGGATCATACACCCTTACCCCACCACCTAGATACTTAAGAACTGCCTAGGGGAAACTGAGGCACCCCCACACTATTCAGGGGAAACATTAAGAACAGTCCCACTTGGTCACACAAGTGTCCCTGTCTAAGCTCAGTGATCACTAGCGCCCCCGCCCCCTCGGTGATATCCAGCCCCCCTGATCCTCCCTCTCTGGTTTGTGTTACAGACTTGCCCGGCCCTCCCAACATCACCGGGACCCTGACCAGGAACGGACGCCCCGGTGAGAGGCTGCGCTGCAAGCCCCGGGGATCAGCGATCGCCTCCGAGTCACGCTCTGCCCGCGGTCCGGAGAGCCCAAGGAACCGCGGGGCTGTGGGGGGCAATGGTCGGGGGAGCAGGCCTGGTTCCCTCTCTCTAGAGCCCGGGGTGGCGTTAAGGGGGCACTGGGCAGCGGGCAGGAGATGGGTTAGGGACCGATCGCTGCGACGGAGACCTGCTGCCATGGCAAGGCACCGAGATTGTGCGCCCACCCCAGAGGGGCCAGGTCTCAGCGCCGGGCGAGGGGTCCCTGTATAACCAGACCCCCACCCCACCCCAGTGGTGACTCTGCGTCTTGGCTCCTTGGTGGGTGTCACGGCGTCCCCGGGCGATGCTCTGGACCTGCTCCCTACGAAGCCAGGCAGGACTCTGGGGATGTCTCCTCTCGGGGAGCAGCCTGTCTGCAGGACACACAGCTGCCCCGGCTCCACCTTCCTGGGTCTGACCTCGGAGCATTCAGCATCCTCTGCCCCTCCGTGCGCTTCCCACAGCGAGTCCACTCAGGCGGGGTCCTGGGGGGGCCAGAGGGTCCTGCCCCCCAACTCCGCAGTCAGACGTGACTCTCAGCCAGCCAGGAAAACAGAAGGTTTATTAGACGACAGGAACATGGTCTAAAACAGAGCTTGTAGATGCAGAGAACCGGACCCCTCAGCCGGGTCCATTTTGGGGGGCAGTGAGCCAGACAACCACGTCTGCCCTTCACTCCATGTCCCAGCCAGCCCCAAACTGAAACTCCCTCCAGCCCCTCCTCCTCTGGGCTTTGTCCCTTTCCCGGGGCCAGGAGGTCACCCGATTCCTTTGTTCTCCAACCCCTTAGCTCTCACCTTGCAGGGGGGAAGGGCCCAGGCCATCAGGTGCCAGGAAACAGGGTGTCGGCCATTCTCTGTGTCCAGACCCCTGCACACACCTGCCCTCTAGGGCTCTGCAAGGATCATACACCCTTATCCCACCCCCTAGATACTTAAGAACTGCATAGGGGAAACTGAGGCACCCCCACACTATTCAGAGGAAACATTAAGAACAGTCCCACTTCGTCACAGTGGGGAATCTCTGGGGGGACCAAACCCGCGTGCTCGTCTCTTCCAGTGCCAGATGCCTGGGGAGCTGAGGGCGACGTCGTGTCTCTGGAGACCCAGGAGGGCGACTCCCTGAGCCTGGGCTGTGAGGCTGGGAGCAGACCCGAGGCCACCCTGAGCTGGGCCAAGGGGAACGAGTCCCTGAGCCCCGGCCAGGGAGGGGCCGGGCGCCTGGAGCTGCCGAATCTCAGCAGAGGGGACGCTGGGGAGTATCGGTGCTGGGCGAAGAATCCCTTTGGGTCGGCCAGCCGGGCCCTGTGTGTGCACGTGCAGTGTAAGGCATTTGGGGGTGCTGGGCGAGACAGAGGGGTCCCAGTGGGGGTGCTGGGCTGCAGGGGGTAGGGGTGGTCAGGAGGGGGGGCTGTGGTGCAGGGGGTGGGCGGGGGATCCATGGGGGGCGCGGGGCTGCAGGGGGGCAGGTGGTCAGTGGGGGGGCGCTGGGCAGCGGAGCAGGGGGTCACAACTCACAGCCCGGGAGGGCGACTCCCTGCGGTTCCTCTGCTCCGTCGCCAGCAACCCCCCGGCTGTGCTGGGCTGGGTGAGGGGGGGCCGAGCCGTCGAGGGCGCCCGCCCCACGGGGGAGAATCAGCTGCAGCTGGAACTGCCCAACGTGACGGCCGAGGACGGGGGGCTGTACGGGTGCTGGGCCCGGAACGAGGAGAGCTCTGCCCAGGGGACGTTCCAGCTGCTCGTCGAGTGTGAGTGGGGATAAGCCCTGGGACGCTGACACTGGAGAGTAGCAGTGTTAATCCGTGGGACTCCCCGCCACTGAGTTCTAGCTGGTGTCGCAGGGTGCCTGGCTCTTTTAAATGGCAAATCAGCCAACCCCCCCACCCCCATGCCATAGTTAATTAGCTGCTTCGGGGTAGCCCCAAGAGGGGCAGCTGAGGCTGCATAAAAGGGCCGTGAGCACCCAGGCTAAGGGTGAAGAAACAGGTGGGTTGGTGTGAAGCGCAGCTGGCCAAGGATGGGGCTGGATCAGCACCTTGGGGCAAGCCAAAATTGACAAACAAGGGCAGAAGAACCTGTGGGACTCCCTCCCACTGGATATTAACAGTTTAATCTATGGGACTCCCTTCTCCTGGGTGGTAGAAGTGTTAACCCATGGGACTCCCTGCCACTAAGTTTCTCTTCTGCGTCGGCTCCAACCCCCATGGGATCTACACTGTCCTGCTGAGCCCACTAGAAACAGGTGGGAGCCCTTCCCCTCTATGGGGCGCTGGCTCTGATCTGACCCCGGCGGGGGATTGGCTGGCTTGGTGTGGGGCGGGGATTGGGCCACGGGACCTTTCCCATGAAGGAGATGCCAGCTCCTATCTGACCCCAGGGCGGGGTTGGCTGGCTCAGGGGATAGGGAATTTCCCCTCTAGGGGGTGCTGGCTCCGACCTGACCCCAAGGTAGGGTTGGCTGGCTCAGGGAATGGGGAATTTCCTCTCTAGGGGCCACTGGCTCCGACCTGGTCCCAGGGCTGGGCCTGGCTGGCTTGGGGTAGGGGTTGCAGGCATCTATCCCAGACTCTCGGCTTGTTCCAGCTCCCACAGGTGGCCTCACTCGGGCATTTATTGAAATCAGCTGCAAACTCGTCTTCATGGCGACTGGATTCTTCCTGGCCTATTACCTCACCCTGCTCTATTATGGACGGTAACTCAGCCACTGACCCACCCACCAACCTACCCACCCACCCATCTACCCACCTACCTACCGTCTATCTATCCACCTACCCAACTATGTACCAACCCACCAACCTCTGTGTCTATTCATCCCCATACACCCATCTATCTATCTATCTATCTATCTATCCCTATCCACACCCTCTATCTATCGATCTATCTATCTATCCCCATTCACCCCTCTATCGATCTATCTATCTATCCCCATTCACCCCTCTATCTATCAATCTATCTATCTATCTATCCCCATATACCCCATCTATCTATCTATCTATCTATCTATCTATCTATCTATCTATCTATCTATCCACACTGCCAGCCACATACATATCCCAGAATCTCTCTCCCAGGACACCCTGCTGCTGTCGTGGAAGGAGAAGAAAGGACAGGCCGGGGGCCCGGGAATCCATGGTGCCCGAGTCCGGTGTCTAGATCGGGCCGTTCCTCAGCCACCGAAGAGCCGACAAGGAATTGGAATCTCACAGGATTGAGGAAAAGGAGAACGAGACCTCAGCTGAGCCCAGGGGTAGAAGCAGACATAGAACAGGTCACCTGGGCCCCCTCTCTTCCCTGCATTGTCCTCCCACTTGCCAGAACCGTCTGGCTCCCAAGATGGGCTCGGCCTCTGGGCCACTGGTTGCTAATGTCCATAATATCCCGGCCATTGTCCAGGGTCCCGGCTGCCAGGTGACATCACACCTGGCCCTCTGCAACCACCATCCCCCTCTCCCACCACCTCGTTCCGCACACAGCACACAGGGAAACTGAGGCAGACGCAGTATTCATGCAAAACTCTAACAAAATCCCCCACTTCGTCACAGGTGCTTTTCAAAATAAAAGTTTTGTGCAAAGGTTCCCTGCCCCAAAAACTAATCACGGGATTTTTTGGTTTTTAGAAAGGTTTCACAGGGATCTGGGCCACTTAAAACTAATGATCCCTGGGAAACATTCACTAGCTAGGAATTTTTCACAAAAATATCCCAAATGTTTCAATCTGTCCTGCCTCCCTCCCCCCCCCCCGCCCCCACACACCTCCTCAGCTTTAAAATATCTTCAGGACACAGAAAAAAACAGACATTTGAATTATTAGATAGATAGATAGATAGATAGATAGATAGATAGATAGATAGATGATTAACCCTTGCCCTCCCATACCGACAGACGCAGTCACCATGATCCCAGCGTTATCAGCCATGTCAGGTTTCTATCTCGACCTGGTGGGTCCAAGGTTTCCCAGAGAATTTCATTTTTTTCCTGCATCTGAATCTGGTAATTCCCAAGACCCAGGAAACACACACGTGTCCAATACTGAGCTCAATACAATGCACAAAGAGCCCTTGCCCAGCGCTGAGATGTGACCGCCTCTGGGGTGGGGAATGGGGGCTGTTTATATAAGGATCCCGGCTGGCGCTGAGATGCAGCCACCTCCAGGTGGGGCTGTGACGAAGTGGGACTGTTCTTAATGTTTCCTCCGAATATTGTGGGGGTGCCTCAGTTTCCCCTATGCAGTTCTTAAGTATCTAGCGGGTGGGGTAGGGAGCAGTTCCAGAGCATCGCCCAGGGACTCCGTGACAACTGGTGGCAGCGGTGGGATGTACTGCACCCCATGGATGGCGCTTCCTGCAGTAAGTGACTGGGGAGCAGTAAAACGAAGGGGGATTGATGAGGACCAGGCGTGCTGAAGGCTGAGAGAGGAGCGGTTTCGGGGGGCAGTTAACCCCTGGGAGTGTGTGACCAGCGAGAAGGAATGTGCAGTAATGGGGTGCCCCTGGGGACTGCGATGAGCAGTCTCAGGGGTGGAGGAGCCTGCGGCTTGGCCCTGGGAGAGAGAAGGACTTTTGCAGTAACAGGGTCCCCTGGGGATTGCAGCGAGCAGTCTCAGGGGCGGAGGAGTCTGCAGCTCAACCCTGGCAAAGAGGGGGTGACCTCGAGAAGGGCTGGCACACTAGGGGTTCTCCCTGGAAACCGTGGGGAGCTGAGAGCACACAGGCCTGTGAGTCCACAACAACTTGGGAAGGGCGGAGTGATGGCCTGTCACCGTCTCCCGAAGAAGGACATTGTCACCCGGTGCAGAAAGACAGGGTTGAGCATTGGAAAGTTCACCAAGGCACAGTTCATCGTGCAGCTGGAGGAGGATGACGGCTCTAAGGAACAGATTCCTGACCCCAAATGGGGCTATAGCAGGATCTGGGAGCAGCTGGAGTGGGAGCCAGGCACCCCCAAGACTTCTGTCCCCGACCAGACGAGGGTCTTCACGATCGGGTTCCCCATCGGGGGATCGAGATGGACGGGATTGGAGCTGAGTCCGAGAGAGCAAGAGGACTGTGAGAGACAGCGAGAGCCCGAGAAAGAGCTGCAGAAGCAGCAGCAGCATGAACTGGCGATGGGGGAGCGGAGAGGCCTAGGGGACCTCCCAGGGGTGAGTGGGGATAGACCCCGGGGGGCCAGTTCTGCAGGGAACCTCGAGACTAAATTGCTGCCCCCTGGTTAAGGAGCGGGGGATTGGGGCATGTGGATGCCACCTCACTGCCTTTGAGCAGGCTGGCTATTTGAACCAGGGGGACCCTGCAGAAAAGCCCCGGTGTCTAGCTCCCTTGCTGGGTCCCAAGGCCATAGACTCCGTCAGCCAGATGGGTGGGGAGGTGGACAGGCTCCCACTCCTGACCACACTCCTGACCCCACTCCTGAAGCCCCTCGCCCTGCCTATGGCCCAGATCCCTGTGCAGACCCAGGAGGGGTGGGGCTGGCTGGTTGTTGGGGTTCTCCGGGATATCGGCTGCGAGACCCTGTCGTAGGGTCACTGTGTCTCTTTGGGACAGGATCCAGGCCTTGCTCCGGTAACTGCCAAGTGTTTGAATTTGAATCCAGGGAACCAATCGTCGGAGAGGGAAATGGTCAGTGAAAAGGCAGATGACCTGGCTGGCAGGGGGGAGGAGCGGCTAGGCTCAGGCTACCTGCCTGCCTGTAACCAGCCCCCTGGGGCTGGGTGGGACAGAGAGATGCTCCCCGCCCCCTTGCACACTGGAGAGGGGGCTCAGAGGGCTCATGCTGGCTCTGATGCAGTGAGGAAAGCAGCGAGCTCGCTGCCTACCCCCACTGGGACAGCAAGGGCAGTGCTGAGCAAGGGGGTAGATAAGACCCCAGCTGAGTGGGGGGAGACACAGGCAGGTCAGGGGATCTGTGGGGAGTGGCCAGGTGCTTGGTAAGGAAAGTTTGGATGAGCCGAGGCAGCCTTGTGAGCTGATGGCTGTGTCTAGTCAGCAGGGCGGGAAGGCGAGGAGAGTGGAAGATGAGTGTCCCTGGACCTTATCTGTTAGCTGGGTGGAGAATTGGGACAGTGAAGGAAACGTGCCCGTGTCTGTCAGGGGTATGGACTTGCATAGGGAGGGAGCTACCCCGATCTCCAAGCAGTTGTCTGTGACCAGCCCTGTGTGCTGGGACAAGGGGAAAGGGATCCCAAGCTGGGTGTCTGGGAAAGGAGAAAGTGTGTCCGGCTCTTCTTGTCTGTGGAGCAGACAGAAGGGGCCTTGCAGCCTGTGATGGTTGAGGGTCGTGCAGTTGTCTCAGAGTTGGTTCTGGATTCAGCTAAAGCCCAGGAAGGGAAGGGTCCTAAGTTTGTGTCTGCTCGGGAGAATGGCCCTGTAACTAGGTCGCATCCAGTTAGGGTCTATGTAAAATCCCAGAGACCAGACAATTCTGGTGCTTGTATTTTGCCTGTTGCTAGTGTGTTCTTGGAAAGGTTTCAGAGGAACAGCCGTGTTAGTCTGTATTCGCAAAAAGAAAAGGAGGACTTGTGGCACCTTAGAGACTAACCAATTTATTTGAGCATGAGCTTTCGTGAGCTACAGCTCACTTCATCAGATGTATACCGTGGAAACTGCAGCAGACTTTATATACACACAGAGAATATGAAACAAATCCTCCTCCCACCCCACTTATAGATAAGCTATTACCAGCAGGACAGTGGGGTGGGAGGAGGTATTGTTTCATATTCTCTGTGTGTATATAAAGTCTGCTGCAGTTTCCACGGTATACATCTGATGAAGTGAGCTGTAGCTCACGAAAGCTCATGCTCAAATAAATTGGTTAGTCTCTAAGGTGCCACAAGTACTCCTTTTCTTGTTGGAAAGGGTGGAGCAACTCTGTCTAATCAGGGTGAGATCCTAGCCAGGGCACAAGGAGAGCATGAAGGTGTGTGATTGTGTTACCTACTGAGGGTGTGGAAACCTGTCGCAAGAAGGAAAAGATTCCTGAACTTGTGTGTGGCAAAGGGAAGGAGAATGCTTCTAACCTTTTATCTAGGAAGTCTGTGAGTTTGCCTGAAAGGGGATTGTGGAGGAATCCGCCTGATGGGCCAGAGGTGATTCTGGATGTAAGGGAGACCCAGAAAGAGTCTGTTGTTGCTCAGGAAAGTGTTCCTCTAGAGCAAGCCTTAGGGAAAGAGGGTAAGGGCAGAATTTCTGGGAGGGGTGAATTGTTGCATAGAAAAGCCCTAGGGAAAGGAATCCTCATGGAGCCTTTGCAAGCAGTTTACGGCAACTGAAGGGTGTGAAAGTGATTTCATCAAGAAAGTTTCAGTTCCTAACAGCCAGAAATTTTCTGTTGTAAATGGATCCACTGACTGTCCTGTTGAAAGATCCAGTGTGGAGAGCTTTGAGAAGGTCTCAGATGAAGTGAAAGCTGTTAAGAAAGTTAAACAGTCCTATAACCAAGTGGCTGTGTTTGGCCAGCTTGTTGGGGAGAAGACCCAATCCCAGTTTGACCCCCTGGGGTTTTGGGGTGGCCAAAGGGCACGGGCCGCAGAAACCTTCCCACATGCGGCCTGCGAGTGCTATCGACCACCCCCGACCTAAGGGAGGGCGTGAAACTGGAAGGGCCTGGTGTAACTCCTACCAAGGAATGGGAGAGATGCTGGGGCATCCATGGGAACGTTGGTGGCTTCGAACTTCCCCAGGTCACCGGGTAAAGTGACCCCGTTCAGTTCGATCTCAAAGGGGGGAGAGATGTGACGAAGTGGGACTGTTCTTAATGTTTCCTCCGAATATTGTGGGGGTGCCTCAGTTTCCCCTATGCAGTTCTTAAGTATCTAGGTGGTGGGATAAGGGTGTATGATCATTGCAGAGCCCTACAGGGCAGGTGTGCAGGGGTCTGGACACAGAGAATGGCCGACACCCTGTTTCCTGGCAACTGATGGCCTGGGCCCATCCCCCCTGCAAGGTGAGAGCTAAAGGGTTGGAGAACAAAGGAATCAGGTGACCTCCTGGCCCAGGAAAGGAACAAAGCCCAGAGGAGGGGGGCCTGGAGGGAGTTTCAGTTTGGGGCTGGCTGGAACATGGAGTGAAGTGCAGACGTGGTTGTCTGACTCACTGCCCCCCAAAATGGACCCAGCCGAGAGGTCCCGTTCTCTGCACCTACAAGCTCTGTTTTAGACCATGTTCCTGTCGTTTAATAAACCTCCGTTTTCCTGGCTGGCTGAGAGTCACGTCTGACTGCGGAGTTGGGGGGCAGGACCCTCTGGCTTCCCCAGGACCCCGCCTGGGGGGACTCGCTCTGGGAAGCGCACGGAGGGGCAGAGGATGCTGAATGCTCCGAGGTCAGACCCAGGAAGGTGGAAGCTGGGTGAGCTGTGTGTCCTGCAGACAGGCTGCTCTCAGAAAGGCGAAATCCCCAGAGTCCTGACCGGCTTCGTAGGGAGCAGTTCCAGAGCATCGCCCAGGGACCCCGTGACAGGGGCATCTATTAAACAGCAACGGAGGGAAACCTCTGGGCAGCTCATTAAAAAGAGTCAGAAACCAAACGGTTAACCAAAATTAACCAGAGGCAGAATGTAACACACCAAACTCGGGGCCGGCCCAGACCCCGGGGTTCCTGCCCCGGAGCTCACCCCAGCGACCAGGGGTCTGCCCTGATCCGCATGGATCCAGCGCAGCGACTTCTAACCCACTAGACCTGGCAGCCACAGTCCCAGCAGGAATCTGCCCCGGGCTCTCTCCTTCCCCCACTAGCTGGGGACCTATGTCCAAGCAGCTGCGCCCCACTGTTCAATGGGACCCTCTCACCTGCTCTCAGTGCCTCTCACTCAGCCCCGAACTGGGGCCGACCAGCCGGAGGTGGAGCAAACTCACCGACTGGAAACTTCCTGTTGTGCAAGATCCGCTCAGCGACCAGCTTCCCAGCACAGCCGCCGGTGCCCACACGCAGGGGGGCAGAGCTGACGTGCCGCTGGCCTGGGGCAGAGCAGGGCTGGGGTGGGAGACTCGCGAGGGCCTGGCCGTTGGGGCTGGTCCCAATGCCCCTAGGGGGTGCTGTGTTTCTTTTAGTTATAGGTTTCCCCCAAATCTTTGTGTATCTCAACACTGGGCAAGGAGTCCTTGTATAAACAGCCCCCAAGCCCCACCCCAGAGGCAGCCACATCTCAGCGCTGGGGAGAGGTCCCTGTGTAAACAGCCCCCAGGACCCAGGCCAGATTCAGCTGCATCTCACCTCTTAAGTCGAAGGACGGAGTCTGTGGCGGGCCGTGGAATCCAGCTGCCTCTCCTGATCCAGCCGATGACCCGGGTCCCATCACATGGGAATCCCCAGACTCAGTGACCTCAAACGGGCGTTTGAGGACCTGAGAGACAGAAAACAAACATCTGCGCTCAATGGACCAGCTCCGATCTGCTGGCTTCTCCCCTGCTGAGAGACACTAGAGGGGAAGGACCCCGGGTCCCATTCCCACCCCCCAGAGCCAGCCAGTTCCCCACCCTGCAGCAGATCACATCCAGCGCTCCCGAGAGGGGAAAGGCCCCATGCCCCATTCCTCCCACCCCGAGCCAATCCCCCCACGGTGGGGCCGGAAGCCGGCTGCCAGGAGGAGCTGGCCTGTATCTGTGACAATCTCCCTCTTCTGTCGGTGGCCCCGAGATCTCCGGCCACTGGAACCAGCTTGTGCAAGACATGCGAGGGCCAGATACACACACTGACTTCCCCTTCCTGTCTTGAAATCTCACCTCTCGCCCCAGCCCTCGTCCTGACACTCGCACTCGCTCCCTGCCAGGCAGGTCTCTGCACGCACCCGGCTCTTCCCATTGGAGTTGGGATTCGCTAGCCGTCCTAACTGGGCATCTGCGGTTCCAGTGCGCTGTTCCCAGCCGCTCCACCCCAGACGCGGACACATCTCAGCTCGGGGTGAGTGATTAGTGTCTGCAGCGTGTTCAATACGATAAGAGGTGTGAGCTGCTAGCGTTCAAATATTATTGCGCGACTGGAAAACACAGTAATAAAGGGATAGGGCTGAGACGGGGGGCAGGTAGTCAGGACTCCTGGGTTCTACCCCTTGCTCTGGGAGGGGAGTGAGCTCTAGTGGTCAGATCAGGGCGGCTGAGAGCCAGGACTCCTGGGTTCCATCCACGGCTCTGGGAGGAGAGTGGGGTGTAGAGGGTCTCAGAGCCACGACTCCCGGGTTCTGTCCCTGGCTCTGGGAGGGGAGCTGGGTCCAGTGGGTTAGAGTGGGGGGTGGAGGCAGGGAGTCACGACTCCTGGGTTGTGTCCCAGCTCTGGGAGGAGAGTGGGGATTAGCAGGGCTCAGAGACCCGGACTCCTGGGTTCTATTTCAAGCCCCACAAGCAAGATGCAGCCTGCCTCTGTTGCAAGGAAGCCACAGGCAGCCCCAGCCAGAGGGAGAGGAAGTCGGCAGGATGCTGATGCTGGGGTTTCTGAGACATCATCTCCCCTTCATCCCTGTCCCCACTGACTTCTGCTTTCACATTCCTATGCATGCCGCTTCCCCGGGCTCCAAGTCACAAAGCGTGAGGAACCCGGGCTGCAGGGTGGGAGAGCCAGGCCTGGGCCCCCCTCTGCAGGTCTAGGGGTGAGTGGAACTAGGGTGCGGGAGGGAGCTGGATGGTCTGTGGAGACTGGGGTGCCCCTCAATCCCGACCCGCAGCCCCTTCTTATCCCAGCCCTGGGCTCCTGTCACAGAGTGTGGGGGAGTCCAGGCCCTGCACCCCTCTTCCTGGGATTCACTGAGACTCTCAGCCAGCCAGTGAAACAGAAGGTTTATTGGACAACAGGAACACAGTCCAAAACGGAGCTTGTGGGTACACCCAGCACCCCTCAGTCAAGTCCTTCTGGGGGAGCAGGGAGCTTAGACCCCAACCCTGGGGTTCCCTGTGTTCCTCCCCCCAGCCCCAAACGGAAACAACCCCTCCCACCCCCCAGGCTCTCTTCTGCAGCCTGTCTTCACATTCCTGGTCAGAGGTGTCACCTCCCCTTCCCCCTCCTGGCTCAGGTGACAGGCTCTCAGGTCTCCCATCCCCAGGGCACATTCCCAGGTCAACACTCCCCCCTCCCTGCTGCGTCCCATCCTCACATCTCTCCCCCCTTCGAGACTGAACGGAGCGGGGTCACTCTGACCAGTGACCTGGGGAAGTTCGGGGCCCCCTCTCCGGGACAGCGCATCCGCTATCAGGTTGGCACTTCCCTCCACGTGGACCACGTCCATGTCGTAATCCTGCAGGAGCAGGCTCCATCTCAGGAGCTTGGCGTTGGCTCCTTTCATCTGGTGCAGCCAGGTCAGGGGAGAGTGGTCGGTGTAGACGGTGAAGTGTCGCCCGAAGAGATAGGGCTCTAGTTTCTTGAGGGCCCACACCATGGCCAGGCACTCCTTCTCGATGGCCGCGTAGTGTTGCTCCCGGGGTAGCAACTTCTTGCTCAGGTACACGATGGGGTGTCTCTCCCCCTTTTCATCCTCCTGCATTAACACCGCCCCCAGTCCCGAGTCTGAGGCGTCGGTGAACACCACAAAGGGCTTGTCAAAGTCTGGGTTTGCCAGAACTGGGCCACGGACCAGAGCCTCCTTCAGCGCCCGGAAAGCCTCCTGGCACTGCTCGGTCCAGACCACCTTGTCTGGCTTCCCCTTCTTGCATAGCACAGTGATGGGGGTGGCTATGGCGCTAAAGTGGGGCACAAATCTTCGGTAGTATCCTGCCATCCCAATAAAGGCTTGGACCTGCTTTTTGGTTGTGGGGAGCGGGCCAGTCTCCGATTACCTCCACCTTGGCTGGTTCCGGCTTTAGGCAGCCACCCCCCACCCGATGGCCCAGGTAAGATACTTCAGCCATCCCCACCTTGCACTTCTCCGCTTTTACGGTCAACCCAGCCCCCTGGAGTCGGTCCAGCACTTGTCTAACCTGGGACACGTGGTCCTCCCAGGTCTGGCTAAAGACACAGATGTCATCAATATACGCCACGGCAAAACTCTCCATCCCCCTCAGGAGCTGGTCCACCAGGCGCTGGAAGGTGGCCGGCGCTCCCTTGAGGCTGAAAGGCAGGGTCAGGAACTCATAGAGCCCCAGAGGGGTGATAAAGGCCGATTTCAGCCGGGCATCTGCATCCAGCGGCACTTGCCAGTAGCCCTTTGTAAGGTCCATGGTGGTAAGGTACCGAGCTCCTCCCAGCTTGTCTAGGAGCTCATCAGGCCTGGGCATGGGGTAGGCATCAGATACCGTGATGGCATTGAGCTTCCGATAGTCCACACAGAACCGGACCGACCCGTCCTTTTTGGGGACCAGCACCACCGGCGAGGCCCAAGGGCTGCCAGATGGCTGGATCACCCCCAAAGCCAGCATGTCCCGGACCTCTCTTTCCAGGTCCTGAGCAGTTTTCCCTGTGACTCGGAACGGGGAGCATCTTATCGGCGGGTGCGACCCGGTCTGCACCCGGTGGACAGTCAGATTAGTGCGTCCAGGCTGGTTGGAAAACAGCTGTCGGTACGGATGCAGCACCCCCCTGACCTCAGCTTGCTGGGCAGGGGTTAGCTGATCCGAGAGGGGAATTCTTTCCAGGGGGGAACCAGCTCTGGTCCAGGGAGTAGATCTACTAAAGGGTCATCTCCCTGCTCCTCCCACTGTCCACACACGGCCAACACCACATTCCCCCTGGCATAATATGGCTTCATCATATTCACATGGTACACCCGGCGGTGGTGCGCCCGGTTCGACAGCTCCACCACATAGTTTACCTCATTGAGCTGCTTGACGACCTTGAAAGGGACCTCCCAGGCGGCCTGTAGTTTGTTCTTTCTCACGGGGATGAGAACCATCACCGGATCCCCGGTAGTGTAGGCACGGGCCCTTGCCGTGCGGTCATACCAGACCTTCTGCTTCCTCTGGGCTCTGGCCAGATTCTCCCTGGCCAGCCCCATGAGTTCAGCTAGTCTCTCTCGGAAGATCAGGACATACTCCACCACTGACTCTCCATCGGGAGTGGCCTTCCCCTCCCACTCGTCTCTCATCAGGTCCAGGAGGCCCCTCACCCTCCTTCCATATAACAGTTCGAAAGGCGAAAATCCGGTAGACTCCTGGGGCACCTCCCTGTACACGAACAGCAGGTGAGGTAAGTACTTGTCCCAATCCTGCGGGTGCTGGTTCATAAAGGTTTTCAGCATCATCTTTAGCATCCCATTGAACCTCTCCACCAGCCCGTTGGACTGGGGGTGATAAGCTGAGGCCCAGTCGTGCCGGACCCCACATTTCTCCCACAAGCACCGGAGCAGGGCCGACATGAAGTTGGAGCCTTGGTCTGTCAAGACTTCCTTGGGGAACCCCACTTGGCTGAAAATGGTCAGGAGCGCATCGGCCACGGTGTCTGCTTCAATGGAAGCTAAGGGCACTGCCTCAGGGTAGCGGGTGGCAAAATCTACCACGACCAGAATGTATTTCTTCCCCGACCGGGTCGTCCTGCTGAGAGGCCCCACGATGTCCATGGCCACCTTCTGGAAAGGCTCCTCTATGATGGGCAAAGATCTCAAAGCCGCTCTCCCCTTGTCCCGGGCCTTCCCCACCCTCTGACAGGGGTCACAGGATCGGCAATACTGCCGGACCGTGGTAAAGACCCCGGGCCAGTAAAAGTTCTGTAGCAGCCTCTGCCGGGTGCGCCGGATTCCCTGGTGCCCTGCGAGGGGGATGTCATGGGCCAGGGACAGGAGCTTGCGGCGATACTTCTGGGGGACCCCCAGCTGCCTCCTGATCCCACAGGACTCTACTTCCTTTGTGGGAGCCCATTCTCGGTACAGGAACCCCTTCTCCCACAGGAACCTCTCCTGGCAGCCTCTCCTCATGGTCTGTACCACACCAAGGTCGGCCAGGTCCCTGAGCTTCCGCAAGGAGGGATCTTTCCTCAACTCGGCCTGGAACTCAGCGGCTGGGGAAGGGATGGGGCCCGGTCTGAGGCCTCCGCCTCTCTGAGCCGTGCCCCTTGGCGCTCCCTCCCTCCCAGGGTAGTGTCCTGCGCCTCCGGTGCGGTACCCTCCCCAAGATCAGGGTGCAGTGCCCCTCGCCGGCTCTGGCTACGCATCACAACCAGGGCGATCTGGGGCTTGCTTGGCCAGTCCTCTAGGTCTCCCCCCATCAAAACTTTAGTGGGCAAATGGTGGTGTACCTCCACATCCTTGGGGCCCTCTTTGGCCCCCCATTTCAGGTGTACCCTTGCCACGGGCACCTTAAATGGGGTCCCGCCCACCCTTGTCAGGGTCAGGTAGGTGATCTGGGGCCACCACCTCGGGCCGGACCAGCGTCACCTCCGCGCCCGTATCCCAGTGTCCATTGACCTTCCTCCCATCCACCTCCAGGGGAACAAGGCACTCTCTCCGGAGGGACAGCCCCGCGCCCACCCTGTAAACCGAGCACCCTGAGTCCAGAGCCTCCAGCCCTCTGGCGGAGCTGGCCTGGGGTACTCTTCCCTCCTGAGCAGGTGGTAAACTGGTAGCCCCCCTTGCCGGGGTCGTCTGCCCCTCGTCCAGCTGAGTCCCTACCCAGTTAACCCTGGGTAGGTTGGGTCTGCTCAGTTTGTCCCTGAGCCCAGGGCACTGGGACCGTATGTGGCCTCTCTGGCCACAGTGATAGCAGCTCAGGTCACGTTGGTCCCCTCGAGCGGGTCGGAGGGGCCCGATGCCAGGCGTTCCCCTTTGGAGGGGGTTCTCCCTATTTCCCCGCTAGGAGGCCCCCTGTGACTCTCTCTCTGCATCGGGGGGGGGCCTGTTCTTTTGGGACTCCTCCCAGCTTCCCCCTGACCGACTGTTCACAAACTCGTCGGCCAGCTGCCCTGCGTGCTGGGGGTTCTCGAGCTTTTTGTCCACCAACCACAGCCTCAGGTCGGAAGGGCACTGTTCATACAGCTGCTCCAGTACGATTAGGTCAAGCAGGTCCTCTTTAGCTTGGGCCCCAGCTGTCCACTTGCGGGCATATCCCTGCATCCGGTTGACCAGTTGTAGGTAGGTGACCTCAGGCGTTTTACGCTGACTCCGGAACCTTCTCCGGTACATCTCGGGGGTCAGCCCAAACTCACGGAGCAGGGCCTGTTTGAACAGTTCGTAGTCCCCTGCCTCCGCCCCTGTCATCCGGCTGTACACGTTCACGGCTTTGGGGTCCAGTAAGGGGGTGAGAAACTGGAGCCTGTCTGCAGGGTCAACCCTGTGCAGCTTGCAGGCATTCTCAAAGGCCGTCAGGAAGCTATCTATGTCCTCCCCCTCCTTCCGCTGGGCCAGGAAGCACTTATCAAAGCTCCTTGCAGTCTTGGATCCCCCCTCACTCACCACAGCCGGGGCCCCACTGCTCCTCAGCCTGGCCAGCTCCAGTTCATGCTGTCTTTGTTTCTCCTTCTCCTGACGCTCCCTCTCCTTCTCCTGACGCTCCCTCTCCTTCTCCTGATGCTCCCTCTCCCTCTCCTCCTGCTCATGTTGACGTTGTTTCTCCTTCTCCTCCTGCTCATGTTGACGTTGTTTCTCCTTCTCCTCCTGCTCATGTTGACGTTGTTTCTCCTCATGTTGACATTGTTTCTCCTCATGTTGACGTTGTTTTTCATGATCCTCCAGCTCCCTCATTTTCATCTCCCTCTCCCATTCCAGCCGCATCCGCTCCAGGGATGGGGAGCTCCGCCGGGAGGATCCCCTGCTGGCTGCCGGGGTCAGGGTGCCCTCGGTATTCGCTGGGCTTCCCCCAACCCCTTCCCCAGGCCTAGGTAGGAAGGGTCTCGGGATGTCCTCGGCAGCAGTCTGACCCCTCCCAACCCGGTCAGGCCCCAGGGCCCACGCTGCGTCCACCGGGCGGCTTCCCTCCGGGACAGGGATCAGGTCATCCAAGCGATCCCTCTCCTCCAACTGGGCAATCAGCTGTTCCTTGGTGGACCTCCCAGTGCGCAGTGGACTACACAGCTCCACCAGGTCACTCTTCAGGCGTTTAGCGTACATCTCCCTGCTGGCCACTCGCAGGCCAGGCAGCTTTCTACGGTTTCCAGGAAAAGCCCCTAGTGTGCCAGTCCTTCTTGAGGTCACCACCCCCTTGCCAGGGTCGAGCTGCAGACTCCTCCGCCCCTGGGACCGCTCGCTGCAATCCCCCGGGGGACCCTGTTACTGCAAAAGTCCTTCTCTCTGGTCACACATTCCCAGGAGTTAACCGGCCCCTGAAACCGTCTCTCTCTGAATCTTCAGCACGCCCAGTCCCCGTCAATCCCCCTTCGTTTTACTGTCCCCCAGTCACTTACTGCAGGAAGCGCCGTTCACGGGGTGCAGGACATCCCACCTCTGCCACCAGTTGTCACGGAGTGTGGGGGAGGCCAGGCCCTGCACCCCTCTTCCAGGGATTCACTGAGACTCTCAGACGGCCAGTAAAACAGAAGGTTTATTGTACATCAGGAACACAGTCCAAAACAGAGTTTGTGGGTACACCCAGGACTCCTCAGTCAAGTCCTTCTGGGGGAGCAGGGAGCTTAGACCCCAGCCCTGGGGTTCCCTGTGTTCCTCCACCCAGCCCCAAACGGAAACTAACCACCCCGCCCCCCCCCCCGCCCCCCAGGCTCTCTCCTGCAGCTTGTCTTCACATTCCTGGGCAGAGGTGATACCTCCTCCTCCCCCTCCTGGCTCAGGTTACAGGCTCTCAGATCTACCATCCCCAGGGCACATTCCCAGGTCAACACTCCCCCCTCCCTGCTGCGTCACATCGTCACAAGGGGCATTACCAGCAGATCGAGGGACGTGATCGTTCCCCTCTATTCGACATTGGTGAGGCCTCATCTGTGTCCAGTTTTGGGCCCCACACTACAAGAAGGAGGTGGAAAAATTGGAAAGACTCCAGCGGAGGGCAACAAAAATGATTAGGGGACTGTGACACATGCCTTATGAGGAGAGGCTGAGGGAACTGGGATTGTTTAGTCTGCGGAAGAGAAGAATGAGGGGGGATTTGATAGCTGCTTTCAACTCCCTGAAAGGGGGTTCCAAAGAGGATGGATCTAGACTGTTCTCAGTGGTAGAAGATGACAGAACAAGGAGTAATGGTCTCAAGTTGCAGCGGGGGAGGTTTAGGTTGGATATTAGGAAAAACTTTTTCACTAGGAGGGTGGTGAAACACTGGAATGCGTTACCTAGGGAAGTGGTGGAATCTCCTTCCTTAGATATTTTTAAGGTCAGGCTTGACAAAGCCCTGGCTGGGATGATTTAGTTGGGGATTGGTCCTGCTTTGAGCAGGGGGTTGGACTAGATACCTCCTGACGTCCCTTCCAACCCTGATATTCTATGATTCTACAATTCTATAGCCAGGTCATAACCACAGGGAAGCCAAACAAACAAAACAGTGATACTATTAAATCCAACTCAAATTTGATTATTAAACTCAGGTTTACAACACTCTAACTGATCACACAAGTCAGGGTCAGAAGGCTACACCTCGAGAGAGAGAGAGCGAGAGCTGGGTTCTCACCACTCCGTGAAGCTGGAATCGATCGGGGGACCCAGGTGTTGGTGGTAGCTGAGGGTCTGGAGTGCTGGAGACAGGCAGAGCTCTCAGCATGATCAATCAGGAGAAGATGAAGTCCCAATGGAAGTGATGCAGATTTTGGATCCAGGCATCAGAACACTTACTTGAGCGTGGGTCGGGGATTTTCTAGAGAAACAACAATGGTTCAAGGGAGAACTCGAGATTTGTTGATGTGTAAACAAGGGAGAATACCAAAGCTGTTTTGATCAGGCTAGACCATGGGAGCTGATCATTCCTGGCTCTGGGTGGTGTTCCTTGGAGGGAGCTCACAATGCAGTCAGGCGGCTTCATTATTTTGGATCCCAATAAAGGATTTATTACTCAAATTGGTCTGATAACTAATGAGCTGGGGGTGTGCAGGCGTGGGTTCATTAACATCTGGAGCAGAGAACCCCCATCATGCAGTGCTTCCCTGCTTTTCTGGCCCCAGAGTTCCCTGCGGTTCTTGCCTTGGAATCTCTGTTCTCCATTCTGTCTGCGAATGGAGACGCCTCCTTGTCCCATCTTCGATGCAAATGAGGCTAGGGGAGTTGCCTTAATTCTGTCATCCTTATCCCAGGGGTTTAGGAGTGTCTCCCACTGCCTTTTCATTGATTTTCGTAAGTCATTCTTCTGGTGTAGATTTGGTTCAAGCAGAGGCTGGAGGGGGGGGGGGGGCACGGTCTTCGTGAGACAGACAGACTGGGTACAGTGCCATGCTTCCCCAAGAACACAGAGCTGCTAGGTAACAACCTATCCTCCATTAATTTATCCAGTTCTTTTTTGAACCATGTTATAGTTTTGGCCTTCACAACGTCCTCTCGCAAGGAGTTCCACAGGTTGACTGTGTGTTGTGTGAAGAAATACTTCCTTTTGTTTGTTTTAAACCTGCTGCCTATTCATTTCATTTGGGGACTTCTAGTTCCTGTGTTATGGGAAGGAATGAAGAACACTTCCTGATTTACTATCTCCACACCTGTCATGATTTTACAGACCTCGATCATATGCCCCCTTAGTCATCTCTTTTCCAAGCTTTAGAGTCCCACTCTCATTAATCTCTCCTCATCTGGAAGCTGTTCCACACCCCGCATCATTTTCGTTGCCCTTTTCTGAACTTTTTCCAATTCCAATTTGAGATGGGACCACCAGAACTGCACGCAGCATTCAAGCTGTGGGCGTACCATGGATTTATATAGAGGCAATGTGATATTAGCTTTTTCGCTAATTGAAGGATTTTTTTAGCCCACGATCTCTCGGGACCGTCTCCTGATTTGGGGATTTGGAGGGGTCACTGTGCTGTCAGTAGCCCCAGATCAGCCCTCTGCAGAGCCCAGCAGCACTGATGGTCCCCAAGGCAGATCTTTCCCCCTGTAAACAGCTTCTGCTCTCACACACCCCACCCTCCCCGTCTGTCTCTAGGTCTATCCCAGCTGGACACCCCAGCCATGGGCAGAGCCCTGCTTCCACAGCAGGATGCCGGAGAATGGGAGCTCCCGGCTCAGGGCCCCCCCTGGAGAGAAGGGGGTCCTGCCCCCCCTGCGGCCACGCTGAGGGTCCTGATCCTCGCCCTGCTCTGGAGGGGTAAGTAAGCAGCCCCTGCAGCCCCAGTGCAGGGGGAAGGGCAGAACCCGCGCTACGCAGGGCCAGGCCTGTCCCAGGCCACGGAAGGGAGACTGGCCAGAGGGGGAGGGGAGCCCGATGCCCTCGTGCGGTGCGAGGGGGCACCGAGCGACAGGGAGCGGGCAGGGGGCTCGACGTAGGGAGGGATGGAAACTAAATGGAGTGAGGTTTGGTTGAGGACCCAGGGCTGGGCTCGCAGGGGGCTGCAGGTCGGGAGTGAGGGCACCGGCAGAGGTGTCGGGGGAGCTCAGGGTTGGTCTCTGCTCTCTGTGGCTCCCACTTCGATCCCTCTCCGTCCCCTGCAGGGTCCCTGTCCCTGGAGTCTGGTTATTCCCTGGGGCTGCCACAGTCGGTGTCGGTGCAGATGGGTCTCTGCGTTCTCGTCCCCTGCACCTTCGCGTACCCAGCCTCGTACGACACCGACAATCCCCGGGCCCGGCTCTACGGACACTGGTACAAGGAGCCCGCAACTGCGGGCCAGGATCCGCCCGTGGCCAGCAGTGACCTCAGCGAGAGCGTGTCTCAAGAGACCCAGGGCCGGTTCCGGCTGGTGGGGGATCTGGCACGTGGCGACTGCTCCCTGCAAATCAGCGACGCCCGACGGACGGATGCAGGGAGATATTTCCTTAGGGTTGAGAAAGAAAACTTTAAATACAGTTACCGCCCCAATCTGTATCGTGCTCACCCTACGCTCGCGATCTCTGTTCCAGGTAAGAGCAGCCGCAGTCACCGCTCCTCAGCCCCCCTGAGCCAGTCCCTGGCCTGGGGCCGGATCGGGGCCGGCGCCCCCTGGGGGGAAAGGCCCCGTGTCCCCCAGTGATTCTCTCCCCTCTCCCCGTGTCTCAGGGCTGACGGAGGAGCCAGAGATCCAGATCTCGCCGGCGCGGGGGCTGCCAGGGACGCTGCTGGCCGGGGAGCCGGTGACTGTGACCTGCACGGCCCCCGGGCGCTGCTCCGGGCCCCCTCCCCGAGTCACCTGGACGGGGCCGTTCAGCAACACAGCCCGGGACGACTCAGCCCTGCTGGCGAACGGCACCTGGGCCCGCAGCTCCACGCTGCGCTTCACACCCGCCCCGGGGGACCACGGCAAAGAGCTCGTCTGCAGAATTACCTACCGCCCACCATGGGGACCTTCCACCCGCAGAACCGTCCGGCTACACGTCGGCTGTGAGTGACCCCCCCAGCCCCTCCATGCTGGGCCCCAGCCCCCCCTGCTGGGATCCCCACCCTCCTGGGCTCCCCAGCCCTGCCCTCCAGCCCCTCCCCATCTCAGCCCTGTGCTGGGATCCCCACCCCCCACCATGCACCTTCAGCCAATTCTACTCCAGACCCCTTCCCCCCCACACCTTGCAGCCCCTTCTCTCTTGGGATTTTCACGCCTTCCTGCCACGTTGGCTATGGCTTCCTCCTCCCATCCACATGCCCCGTCCTCAGGCCCTTCTCCTCTGGGATCCTCTCTACCCCCGACCTGCCCTGCCCCCAGAATCCTTCTATGCTGGGATCTACCCACTATTCCAGTCCCCCCTTGCTGGGATTCCCCCCCTCACACCAGACACCCCAGTTCCCCCCGAGATCCACCCGGGCTGTCCCACCACGTCTCCTCCACCCCGTCCCCTTTCTGCCGGGATCGGAGGATGCTCTCTATGGGGCAGAGTGTTAACGGGACCCAGTCGCTGTCCGGCACTAAACACGCTCCAGGGTCCGTGCCCAGAGACCTCGGCCCGCCCTACCTGAGAGCAAACCCCCATTAACTGGCCCGTGACCCCTGCGCTGCAGATCCAGAGCAGAGGGCAAATCAGCAGCCACCTTTGGGAGGTGAAGGACCAAATCGGGCGTCACTGTAAGGACGGCCCTTGTTCCCATCAGCCGGAGGGAGATTTGGAAGGAAACTCGCCCCCCGCCCTGCCCCGTGTCTGAGCCCAGGCCCCAGCCCGACCCCGAACGTCTACACAGGCCTCGGAGGATACGTCCGCGCTGCAATCACAGACCCGCAGCCCGAGCCCCGCGAGCCCGACCCAACGGACCCAGGCTCTGGGCCTCGGCGCCGCGGGGCTTTGAGGGCAGCATGGACGGACCCTGCCAGGCCTGGCCAGAGGGCACCAGCGTCCGGCTCCTCCGGGTGTTGCTTTCAAAATACCCAGGCCTGGCCGGGGGCCAAAGGAGAGGGCTGGGGAGAGACGAACCGAGCGGAGAAGGCAAAGGACCCACAAGGGGGGTGTCTGACGACCCTCGTGGGGGCGAGACCGGGGTTATTTAGACCCCCGGCTCTGTCCCGCCCTCGGGAGGACACGTTTGGGGAGCAGGACGCTGAACACCCGGGTGCCCGGCAGACGGTGGCAGCGAGATGGTGACGCTCGCTCCAGTCCCCAGGCCGGAGCAGCCCGGCCCCTCGTTAGTGCCTCCGCCAATTAAGCTGAATTCTGACCCACCGGTTTTGGTCCCTTGGTTCTGGCTCCCCCTGGCCCTAACCCGGCCCCTGGGTTACGTCCGGCGCCTCTTGGGTCGCCCCCAGTCGGGTCTGTCGCTTCCCTTCCCTGCCCACGGAGCTTGTGTCACTTCAGGGACCTTCCCGTCCCCCAGCTGAGCTCTCAGCGAGGTGACACGGGGTCCCCGGGCGATGCTCTGGAACTGCTCCCCATGAAGCCAGGCAGGACTCTGGGGAAGTCTCCTCTCGGGGAGCAGCCTGTCTGCAGGACACACAGCTCCCCCGGCTCCACCTTCCTGGGTCTGACCTCGGAGCATTCAGCCTCCTCTGCCCTCCGTGCGCTTCCCCCAGCGAGTCCGCCCAGGCGGGGTCCTGGGGAAGCCAGAGGGTCCTGCCCCCCAACTCCGCAGTCAGACGTGACTCTCAGCCAGCCAGGAAAACAGAAGGTTTATTAGACGACAGGAACATGGTCTAAAACAGAGCTTGTAGGTGCAGGGAACAGGACCCCTCAGCTGGGTCCATTTTGGGGGCAGTGAGCCAGACAACCCCGTCTGCCCTTCACTCCATGTCCCAGCCAGCCCCAAACTGAAACTCCCCCCAGCCCCTCCTCCTCTGGGCTTTGTCCCTTTCCCTTAGGGCACCTGATTCCTTTGTTCTCCAACCCTTTAGCTCTCACCTTGCAGGGGGGAAGGGCCCAAGCCATCAGTTGCCAGGAAACAGGGTGTCGGCCATTGTCTGTGTCCAGACCCCTGCACACCCCTGCCCTCTAGGGCTCTGCAACGATCATACACCCTTACCCCACCACCTAGATACTTAAGAACTGCCTAGGGGAAACTGAGGCACCCCCACACTATTCAGGGGAAACATTAAGAACAGTCCCACTTGGTCACACAAGTGTCCCTGTCTAAGCTCAGTGATCACTAGCGCCCCCGCCCCCTCGGTGATATCCAGCCCCCCTGATCCTCCCTCTCTGGTTTGTGTTACAGACTTGCCCGGCCCTCCCAACATCACCGGGACCCTGACCAGGAACGGACGCCCCGGTGAGAGGCTGCGCTGCAAGCCCCGGGGATCAGCGATCGCCTCCGAGTCACGCTCTGCCCGCGGTCCGGAGAGCCCAAGGAACCGCGGGGCTGTGGGGGGCAATGGTCGGGGGAGCAGGCCTGGTTCCCTCTCTCTAGAGCCCGGGGTGGCGTTAAGGGGGCACTGGGCAGCGGGCAGGAGATGGGTTAGGGACCGATCGCTGCGACGGAGACCTGCTGCCATGGCAAGGCACCGAGATTGTGCGCCCACCCCAGAGGGGCCAGGTCTCAGCGCCGGGCGAGGGGTCCCTGTATAACCAGACCCCCCACCCCACCCCAGTGGTGACTCTGCGTCTTGGCTCCTTGGTGGGTGTCTCGGCGTCCCCGGGCGATGCTCTGGACCTGCTCCCTACGAAGCCAGGCAGGACTCTGGGGATGTCTCCTCTCGGGGAGCAGCCTGTCTGCAGGACACACAGCTGCCCCGGCTCCACCTTCCTGGGTCTGACCTCGGAGCATTCAGCATCCTCTGCCCCTCCGTGCGCTTCCCACAGCGAGTCCACTCAGGCGGGGTCCTGGGGGGGCCAGAGGGTCCTGCCCCCCAACTCCGCAGTCACACGTGACTCTCAGCCAGCCAGGAAAACAGAAGGTTTATTAGACGACAGGAACATGGTCTAAAACAGAGCTTGTAGATGCAGAGAACCGGACCCCTCAGCCGGGTCCATTTTGGGGGGCAGTGAGCCAGACAACCACGTCTGCCCTTCACTCCATGTCCCAGCCAGCCCCAAACTGAAACTCCCTCCAGCCCCTCCTCCTCTGGGCTTTGTCCCTTTCCCGGGGCCAGGAGGTCACCCAATTCCTTTGTTCTCCAACCCCTTAGCTCTCACCTTGCAGGGGGGAAGGGCCCAGGCCATCAGGTGCCAGGAAACAGGGTGTCGGCCATTCTCTGTGTCCAGACCCCTGCACACACCTGCCCTCTAGGGCTCTGCAATGATCATACACCCTTACCCCACCCCCTAGATACTTAAGAACTACATAGGGGAAACTGAGGCACCCCCACAATATTCAGAGGAAACATTAAGAACAGTCCCACTTCGTCACAGTGGGGAATCTCTGGGGGGACCAAACCCGCCTGCTCGTCTCTTCCAGTGCCAGATGCCTGGGGAGCTGAGGGCGACGTCGTGTCTCTGGAGACCCAGGAGGGCGACTCCCTGAGCCTGGACTGTGAGGCTGGGGGCAGACCCGAGGCCACCCTGAGCTGGGCCAAGGGGAACGAGTCCCTGAGCCCCGGCCAGGGAGGGGCCGGGCGCCTGGAGCTGCCGAATCTCAGCAGAGGGGACGCTGGGGAGTATCGGTGCTGGGCGAAGAATCCCTTTGGGTCGGCCAGCCGGGCCCTATGTGTGCACGTGCAGTGTAAGGCATTTGGGGGTGCTGGGCGAGACAGAGGGGCCCCAGTGGGGGGTGCTGGGCTGCAGGGGGTGGGGGTGGCCAGGAGGGGGGCTGTGGTGCAGGGGGTGGGCGGGGGATCCATGGGGGGCGCGGGGCTGCAGGGGGGCAGGTGATCAGTGGGGGGTGCTGGGCAGCGGAGCAGAGGGTCAGTGGGGGGCGCTCTCCAATCTAATACGTTGCCGTGGGTATTTCAGCTCTAGAGAGGACTCTGCAAATCACCGTCTCTAGAGCCAACAGGAGCGACCCCCAGCTGTTCCAAGGTATCGCTAGGGGGCAGGGCAAGGGGCACGCGGCCTTCCCCCTCTAGGGGGTGCTGGCCCCGATCCAGCCCCCAGGCAGGGCCTGGCTGGCTCAGGGTGCGAGTGGCTCTGTGTTATTCCTGTTCCCAGATCCCGGCACCCCGGTGGGGAACGGCTCACAACTCACAGCCCGGGAGGGCGACTCCCTGCGGTTCCTCTGCTCCGTCGCCAGCAACCCCCCGGCTGTGCTGGGCTGGGTGAGGGGGGGGCCGAGCCGTCGAGGGCGCCCGCCCCACGGGGGAGAATCAGCTGCAGCTGGAACTGCCCAACGTGACGGCCGAGGACGGGGGGCTGTACGGGTGCTGGGCCCGGAACGAGGAGAGCTCTGCCCAGGGGACGTTCCAGCTGCTCGTCGAGTGTGAGTGGGGATAAGCCCTGGGACGCTGACACTGGAGAGTAGCAGTGTTAATCCGTGGGACTCCTCGCCACTGAGTTCTAGCTGGTGTCGCAGGTCCCTGGCCCCTTTAAACGGAGACAGAGCAAACCGCCTTCCCCCTCTCTCCCCCGCCATAGTTAATTAGCTGCTTCGAGGGCAGCCCCAAGAGGGGCAGCTGAGGCTTGAACAGACCTCTGGGCCGTCTAGAAGGGCCGTGAGTGCCGAGGCTGAAGGTGGAGAAGCAGGTGGGTTGGTGTGATGTGCAGCTCGCTGAGGATGGGGCCAGATCAGCACCCACGGGCTGGCTGAAGAGACGTCCCAGTGCAGAAGAATCCGCGGGACTCCCTGCCTCTGGATATTTAGCAGGTTAATCTTTGGAACTCCCTGCCCCTGAATATTAGAAGGGTTAACCCACGGGACTCCCTGACACTGGATATTAGTAGGTTAATCAGTGGGACTCTCTGCCCCTGGGTATTAGGAGGGTTAACCCACGGGACTCCCTGCCACTGGGTTTCTCTCTCTGACTATTAATTTCTCCCTTTATCTCCTGTGCTCCCCAGACAGCCCCCGGCCGGGGACCGGGCTGAACACGTCCTGCCAGCGCCAGGGGCCCGGCGTCAGCTGCAGCTGCTCCCTGCGCTCCCACCCCCCGCCCCGGCTTCAGTGGCAGGTGGACGGGGAGCCCCTGGCTGGGAACGGCTCGCGGGGGGCCCTGCACGTCAGCTCGTGGGCCCAGGGGGACGAGGTTTTCAGCACCCTGAGCTGGACGGGGAGCGGGGACAGGGGCCCCCGGATCTTCTGCCTCGGCTCCAACCCCCACGGGACCTACGCCGCCCTGCACTTTGAACGCAGCCCCCCACAGAGAGGTGAGACACTCGGACTCCTGGGTTCTGTCCCCCACCCTGGAAGAAGGGTGGGGTCTGGGAGTTGGAGGCAGGGGAGCTGGCAGCCAGGACTCCTGGGTTCTCTCCCAGCCGTGCCCCGTGCTGTGTGTTTTTGCAGGTGCGGAGGAGCCTGGCAAGCTGCTGGGCATCGGGGTGGCCTGTGGGCTGGGGGTCGCTGTCGGCATCTTCCTTCTCGGGCTCTGTGTGATCAAGTGAGTCTGACGCCTCCTGCCCTGACCCCCAGCTGCCCCCGTCCCGAGATCCCACTGAGATCCCCTGCCATCTCCCCAGGGCTATTCCAGCCCCTTAGTCCCTCATCCAGTGAGATCCCTCCCGACCCACCAACCTCTCTCCCTGGCCTATCCCAGTCCCCTGCCCTCTAGACTCTCATACTGGTGTGCCACCCCCGCCCCCCCACCGCCCCGGGTCTCATGAGTCCGTCCTGATCCATCTTCCCACAGGCTGCGGGGCCGGGAGCCGGCTCCCGGGACCCAGGCTGAGCACACAGCCGACGACTCCAGCCTGATCTACAATAAGGTCACCACCATCCCCATGGTATGTACCTGGGAGGAGCAGGGGACCAAGCCCACCTGCCCTTCCTGTCTCTTCCCCCCCTCCATTTCTCCTCTTCCCTCCCCTACTGTTTCCCACCCCCTTAATGAATGCAGGACTATAAGTCAGGCTTTCACCAGGGCACCCAACCCCCCATGCGTGCTCGGTGGAGGATATGCACCCCTGCCACCAGCCTGGGCCCCCCGAACGGCATGGGGTCGGCTCCTGCATGCAGAGAAGGCACCTCATCCCTCGGGTCTCGCTCAGAGGGGAGGACATGCGGCGAATGCATTCACGTGAATTCACAACGTGCATGGGACTAGATTGGGGCTGGGATGCTGCCAATCTCCTGGATGCACCAACCGGGCAGGAAATGCATTTCTGCAGCTGCGGTGTCAGGTGCTTGTGATCGGACGGTGCGTGCAGGCTGTTCTGAGTCTGTTGCACCTTTCAGAAAAAGCAACGAACGCATCAGCATGGGCTCTGCGACCACGAGATGCCTGGGATCAAATGCGTGGCCGGTGCAGGCAATGCAGGGAACGTATTAACGTAACCGGCTCTGCCCCAAGACGCAGGAGATCGGTGCAGGCACGCGCAATGTGTGAAATGCACAGAACCCCGTGCGTCTTGCGAATGCACTCAGTGGATTAAGGGACCCCGTGCTGCCCAAGCTGCATGGGCGCAGTTCATGCATCCCCATTGCATAAATCCAGTGAATACATTCGTTGAACCTGTGTTGCAATGAGATGCATGGGATGAAATCCTGCAAGTGCAGTGCATGAAATGCAGCAACCCTCCCCCTCTGCGCCCCGTGCGTCTTGCGAATGCGTGGCCTGTGTGGGTGAGATAGGGGAGGCATTAACCGAGCTGGTGCCGGCATGGGATCGGCTCACGCATGCAGCGCGTGTGAAACACACCCAATCCCCCCCGCCTCTGGCTAGTGCACGCCCGATGCAGGAAATGCATTTGCATGGAGGGTGAGAAACCAGGCCGGGGGCAGCCCATGCAATCAGCTCAGCAGGGTGGATGCAAGTCTCTGCCTGGTGTCTCTGCCTTGCTTCTCACCCAGGATCACAACACTCCAGCCGCCGGCCGGACCAAAGGCGTCCAGGACGGGGCTGCAGCAGCTCAGGGCCCGCTAGGCCCCGGGGAGCCGGAGGAGCTGCACTACGCCTCCATCGACTTCTCCAAGCTGCAGCGCAAACGGGGGGAGCCTCCGGAAGCCCCCGCCACGGAATATTCTGAGCTCCGGCTGAAATAGCCCCCTCGCGCCATGGGCCCAGGCTGGGCGTCTCTGGCCCATCCTGTGAGGGGGGGTGTCACAGTGAGGGGGGAAGGGGACAAGTGGTCGGCCCAGGGCTGTGGGAAACCTGGGTGCAAATCCCTGCTTCGGCCCGGACTCAGGGCGGAGTCAACTAGGCCTTCGAGATGCTGGAGCGCTGCATTGTGGGGAGGTATCCCAGAGTCCTCTGCAGCCGGGTCCCAAAGCCTGCCCCCTCCCAAACCCCACTGCCCCAGGGGGAAAGAGAGCCGCTCATCTCTCAGCCATACAGCATCTCTCTTCTACCCGGCCTGAGCCCTCGCCAACTCGTTTCACAGATGGAGAGCATTTTCCATCTCAGGGGCAGCAGCTGGCAAGAGTGGAGGGACGGGCTTGTATCTAAGGTGCTGGCCTGGTACTCAAGTTTCCTGGGTTCTCATCCCTGCTCCACTGAAAATGCTCTCGGTGAGGTTGGGCCAGTTGCTGCATCTGTCTGGCCTCAGTTTCCTCACTTTGAAAATTGGGATAATAATGGTGTCCTGGGCTCGTTATGTTCTAAACCCCTCGGGGCAGGGACTGTGTGTCTGGGCAGCCCCTGGCACAATGGGCCCTGATCTCTGTCTAGGTCAATCAGTGCCATGTGATTATAAATTCTTAATAACGATGCTCTATTCAAGGTAACATGTTCACTCCAAAGCCAAAAGCATCCGACTGTAAAATTCCGACTTTACAAGCTCTTCCTTGAAATAGATTTTCATGTGTCATTTTTTGTCCCTGCTACTTTTTTAACAAAGGGCCAATAACAACTATGACTTATTTGTGTGCAGTGAAGAATCAGTTTTCACTTCGGCCTTTCCCCTGGGAAGGCCCCGATCACGGTTGGTTTCTGGGCAGGACCGGGCGTAACACGGCCCCAATCTCAGCTGGGGCAGGGCCCGTCTCTCGCTGGGTCTGGGCAGCACCTAGCTGTCACGGACACCCAGGGCTCATTCTCGCTCGGCTCCGTACGGCCCCTGGGAGTGACCCTCCTTCGGTGTGACGGCCCCCCGGGAAGGTTCACTCTCTCTCCGGGGTTAGACCCTCTGACCCCAGCACCTCCTGGGACCGCACCTCTGAGCTGGCCTGTCTCTGCCGTGGGCCCCTTCAGGGAGTCCCCTTGCTCTGCACCCCAGGGTCCTCCACCCCCCCGATCGCTACCCCGCAGTGACTCTCAGCCAGCATAACACAGGAGGTTTATTGAAGGTCTGAACCCAGCCCAGGAGGCTCTCAGGGCCCTCGGGCCTGGCCTCCCTCAGCACAGGACATCTGGGTCTCTCTCGCATCCAGGTAGGCTCTGGCTGCTCTCTTCCCCCCAGCCCAGAAGCCCCCTCCTTCCAGCTGAGCCTCCGATATCACTGGCCCCCACAGCTCCTCCCCTGTCCTCTGTGTCCTTTGTCCTCCATCCCAAGTAAACAGGTCACCAGGGTCCTCTCTCCTCAGCCCTTTGTCCTCCACTGGCCCGAACTGGCTGCCTTCCAAGCTGGGGGGGCTCCTGGTCACCAGGTCAACAGTTGTTAGGGTTCCCCATCTCCAAGCCGTTGTCCGGGGTCCCGGCTGCCAGGCGAGGTCACACCGGGCCCTCTGCAACAACGAACCCTCTCCCTCCACCTCGTTACACACGCAGCACACAGGGAAACTGAGGCACACATGCACCTTTCTGGCCTTGGCATCTAGGAACGCCATTTCTCCATGCATAGTCTTCCCTCCCCAGCCGGTTGTGGGTGATACGTCCACCAGGCCTGGAAATAAGGCAAAACTGCTTTATTTCTTTGGCCGTTTATTTTGGAGCAACTTTCCTGACTGTGCTGGGACCTGGTGCACCAGGCCACAGAGATTCCACTCGCTCCACCTACAGGTAGCTGAGCAAGGAGCTGGGGGGTCTGATTGTGTTTTGGGGGTGTGAAATGACAACCGCCTGGGAAAGAGACAGTGGGTTGCAGGGGAGGGGGATACTAGGGGAAATGGAGAGACTAGAAAACAAACAGACACAATCCGATGAGTGTGTAATGCATGGAGAAATTAGACCCAACGATCTAGTACAGGTGGATACACAATCTGATGAGGATCAAATCCAAGGGAAAATTAGACACAACAATCGAGGACAGGCAGATTAAAAAGTGTGTCACATCCGGAAGAATTAGACACAACGATTTGGTAGACACACAATCTCTCTCGACTCTAACAAGGGGAAAGGGGACAAGCCAGTGAGAAACACACCATGATGAATGTGTAACACAAGGGGAAAGGGGGCATAACAATGGCTCTTACCTGTGTTCCACTGGGGAGACCTGTTGTGTTTTGGGTGCTGGAGGGTGTTGATCATTCCCAGGAAGCTTGTCTTTCATCTGGGAACAAACACAGAACCTCGCTGAAGCTCAGGGGTGTTAGCAGCCTTCTGTCCAGCCTAAATGAGGCAGCAATTAAACACTCCTTTGCTTAGTGATAAATGAAACAGGATCATTGATTGGGCTGCAGCTAGGTGCCTTGGAAGCAGAAAGCTGCCCCCAAAAAGGCTGCAGCAAGCCAGAGGAGCATTGAGAGGAAATCTTTTTGGGCAGAATACTGTCTGCAAGCAGGCTTGGATTTCTGAGGAAGGAAACTTCCCCCTGGAGTTTGTTATCTGCTGTGTTGAGGGAGAGACGGCTGTGCCTCCATTCTTGGGAGATAAACAGGACTGTACCCAAGAAACACCTGACGTGGATCTACAAATTCTGCTGCATGGAAATGGTCTGTGAGGCCCTGAACATGGGCTACACTGCTCCGGTGGAAAGGAGCGACACACTGAGACACCGCCGGCATTTTGAAGTGGTTTCAGCATCTTGGCAGTGTAGCTGCCAGTGTATTAATTAGTAATGAGAACTTTATTACTAGAGAGACCAGGTTGGGGAGGGAATATCTTTGATTGGACCAACTTTTGTTGGTGAAAGAGACGCTTTCAAGCTGCACAGAGCTCTTCTTCTGGTCCTGAATAAGAGCTCGGGACAGCTCAAAATCTTGTCTCTTTCACCATTACCTCACCTCCCTTGTCTCTCTGATCTCCTGAGACTAGCCCGGCTACAATAACACTGCAAACAAGCGTTATTACTAATAATTCCCTTCATGATGTGAGCCATGGAATAGTGCGACTAAGGAATAGTACTGGAATGTAATGGATATTCTTGTTAATTATTATAGAAATGTACAATGCATCAAAATTAATAATTGGCGTTTGATTACCAATAATTAATTCTTTGGTTTGAGCAATTGAATATTAATGAATATTTTTAGAATGTAGTGTACATTTGTATTAATTACCATAGCAATTTGTTATCAATGATAATTTTCTTACTAATAATTTAGTAATTTTACCAATGGAATATGAATGAATATCAGAATATAGTGATTACTGTTAATTGACATTGTTATAATAATCAGCATATAATTGTTGTTTAATTTCACAGCAGATTTTTCTGAGTAATTAATATTATAATTTAGTGATAGATCATTATTAATTATAGCACTTTAGCAGTAGATTACTGATATTAATTAACATAATTACCAATATAAAATTGGTAAGAAATTTCACAACAGATTATTCTTAGTATTTAACATAATTTAGTGATAGATCATTGCTAATTATAGAAATTTAGCAATAGATTACTAAATTACATGATTATAAAAATAAGTATATAACTTTAGTGAATAATTTAGAAACAAAATATTCTTATTAATAAACCATAATTTACTAATAGGTCATTGTAATTAATTAATAACATATTCATATTCATAGACTAGAATTTAGCAATAGATCATCATAGTTAATTAGCAACAGAATGTCCTTATTAATATACTAGAATTTAGAAATAGGTTATTGTTATTAATTAGCATCCGAATATTATTAATTAATATACTATAATTTACTGATAGATCATTGATATTAAAAACATTGTATTAATTATTAAATTATAATTTAGCAATAGGTCATTAACTATCGTAGCAATTCAGCAATCGATTACTTACACCGTTATTTGAGTGATAGATTATTAGCGTTATTACTTGCTATTAGTTCCCTCGCTCTGGGGATTGCATAGACATAACTGAGCATCCATTTACTACGTCAGAAATGCAAAGGGGTCTCACTGCAGACCCACTTCATGGAGACAAAGCAATTAATAGGGATTCTTTCTGACATACTTCCCAGCACCACCAGCAGGGGGCAGCGCTGTGCAGGGAGTCACCCCGGGAGTTTATGGCACTGTTAGCATTGCACTGCACATGGCCCACATCATGGGTCTCCAAAAGTAAGTCCCTCCCTCTGAACAGTCGGGGGCGCTGTGCTGCAGTGAGCCGGGGGGGGCTCTCCCCTGGCAGTCAGGGCTGCCCCGATGCCCCAGGGTGGCACTAGGGGGCGCTGTGCTGCAGGCAGCGGGGCAGGTGACTCAGTTTACCCAGCGACTGGGCTGGTTTCTGTATGGGTGGGAGGATAAGTCCATGGCTGATGTGGCACCTGATGTGACCATCACGACTCTCGGTGGTAAGACGGCTCCCGGCCGCAAAGCACATCTCATCCACCCTCCCAGCCCTGCCAGCTACGGGCCTCATGTCGGGGTCAGAGGCACAGGACCCACCCCCCTGGGTTAGAACCCATGGACCCTGGGCCAGCAGGGTGACCCGAGGGCCAGGGGTGGGTGCCATCTATTGGCTCTCAGGTACACCAGGAATGGGTCAGAACAGAAGCATCCAAGGGCTGGCAGCTGGGCCTGGCTAGGTAACGAATTAGATTTGTGAGCTGGGGGGAGGGCGGTGAGGTGAATATGATGGATTGATGCCGGAGTGTGTATGGGTGTGTCATAACCATACAGCTAAGGGTAACCTAGAATTCCTCCTTACCTGTAAGGGGTTAAGAAGCTCACATAACCTGGTTGGCACCTGACCAAAAGGACCAATGGGGAAAGAAGATACTTTCAAATCTGGGGCGGAGTCGGGGGGGGTGAAGCCTTTTTTTTCATGTGTTCTCTTGGGAAGCAGAGAAGCATCAGTTCAGAAAACTCCTTCTCCTATAATCCATCCTAAAAGACTCTCATATTACAAATTGTAAGTAAAAGCCAGGCAAGGTGTGTTAGATTATCTTTTGTTTTGCTTGTGCATTTTTCCTTTGCTGGAAGGAGGTTTATTCCTGTTTTTTGTAACTTTGAAACTAAGCCGAGAGGAAGTTCGGCTGTGTTTTTGAATCTTTTGTTACCCTGTAAAGTTGTTTTGCATCCTGATTTTACAGAGGTGATTTTTACTTTTTTTTTAAATAAAATCCTTCTTTTAAGAACCTGACTGATTTTTCTATTGTCCTAAGACCCAGAGGGTTGGGTCTGTGATCACTTTGTAGCCAGTTGGTTAGGATATTATTCTCAAGCCTCCCCAGGAAAGGGGGTGTAAGGGCTTGGGGGGATATTCTGGGGAAAGAGGAATTCCAAGTGGTCCTTCCCTGATTCTTTGTTAAATCACTTGGTGGTGGCAGCGTACCATCCAAGGGCAAAGAATTTGTGCCTTGAGGAAGTTTTTAACCTAAACTGGTAGAACTTAGTTTAGGGGGTCTTTCATGCGGGTCCCCACGTCTGTACTCTAGAGTTCAGAGTGGGGAGGGAACCCTGACGGGGGTGACCAGATAGAGGGGGATGGATGAGGGTGGTTGGAGAGGTCTGGGGACAGATGAAGTGGGATGCGGAGATGGATGGATGGATGGATGGGAGTG